ACTACTACTACTACTACTACTACTACTACTACTACTACTACTACTACAGACTGCTGCTGCTGCTGCTGCTACCACCAGTATACCACCACCAGGGAACCCCTGACCCCGCAGACCCCGCGGACCTGCGAACCCCGCAAACCTTGCGAACCTCGCGAAAGCCGCGGACCCCGAAAACCCGCAGCAACAGATGTTCATGCATCCAGTGCCACAAACCCCAATGCAACAGCCACAGCAGATGACAGCTGGCAGCATACAACATTCGGGCCAGGACGTCACTGTCATGCCGCAGCAGCCGGACCACGCGAACCCGGCTACAATCAAAGAGCCAAAAGGATCAACGACGCTGAGCCCAGCACAGCCGAGTCCTTCGTTGGTTAACAGCGAGGCCATAGAGGGGCTTAAGGAGGAGCTGGAGGGCAAGTTCCAAGAGTCGGAATAAGTTGTAGGGCATGGGGCCAAGAATGGTCTTCGCAAAAAACTTGCTGAAGAGTCGGTGGTGGCGATGTGAACGCGTCTTGAACCAGCCCATGAGCATGCATTTTCCACATATCGGCAAGCCATGCCGTAGCACTGATATCTGTAAGCATTGCAAGCTCTTCTCCACGCACGTGCTGCCAGCGGCAAAGAGAGCGAGTGACTTTGAAGAAATTGTATTTCCCAAGTACTTCTGTCGCTTTGATGCAAGTTTAGCAGCCCGGCCCAGAAAAAAGGACCAGCAGGCTGTGGAGTTTGTTACGCTTATAGAACATAGCTCAGCTAATCCCCTCGCTGACAAGGCTCGCATGTCCTTACCTCACAGCCTGAACAAACTTTCTCTTGCCGTGTTTGGCGCCCACGCTTTCTTTCCACAGGTTGGGGGTGGCCACGTTGAGTTCTTCATTATTTGGTCTCAGACATACTGGACCACGATGCGCAAGCTGCAAGTATGAGTGCAAACACAATCCTGACCTGGATTCGATTGGAAAGCAAAGCCCAATGTATGGGACATGGTGAAACCCTGGCGCAGGCCCATGAAGCAAACAGGCCGCCATGAGGTGGCATCATTCATGGTGACAACCGGCAGTGTCAATTGGCAATTGGCAGATTCTGGTGTGAGGCGCAAGGAAGAGCTTATCTTCCCACCGCTGCAGCTTCAGAGAACAAACGGCCAAGTTTCTGACGCGCGCAATTGTCCACAACTTTGGCCCCATATGCCCCCTGCTGGATATGCTGAGAGAAGGAGAGAAATTCAATTGCATGCAATGGCTTGTGGTGGCTGACGCAGCGGCTGCTAATTGCAAGGCCCTTCCCCACCTCTTCACCTTCCTGCTGAACAAATGTGAAAAGTCCTTGGCGCATTACTCGCCATGCCTTCTGCACCAACTGGCGCGGTTGCTGGTGTTGACTTTGGAGCGTGAAGGACCCTGTAACCACTTGCCAAGTTAGCGCAGTTGTTTTGGGGGCTATCCTGTGTGGTTCAGGACTTGTGTAAGACGAATTGTCAAAAAGCAGCGAGTGAAACAAGAAGCCACCCAAGCAGCCAGAGAATGTGTAATGCTCAGGCCCCCTGTACTGCTTGACACGCCTTGTCCAGCAGAGCAGCCTTCGGACAAATGTGCTGAAGGCAATGTTGGTGGAGTTGCAGAGGCGGTTTGCTTACCACCGCGTTTTTGCAGTGCCTTCCAGGGCAACTAACTCCAAGAATTTTCGCAGATCCCTGGCCAGACTGCTCTGGGAGCCATGGGACCCATCAAGGCAAGTGACACAAGGAGAGGCATCTGCTCGGCAATCAGAGAAAATGGTGAATTGGCAGAACGTCTTTGCATTTTTTCAACGGGAACCTGCAGGATGAAGACAATTGGGAACATTGGTGCACTGGCTGCTGCAGTGACAGAGACACAAGTTTGGAAAAGGCAGGGTCAAGCAGCACAGCCTGTTCATTGGTTGGAGACTTTCAATCGTAAGACCAGCTAGTCAAAACACCAAATCTTACCAGGGCACTGACTAGAGTTCTGGTGCAAAGTTCAACAGAAGTGCCAGGGTGGTCAAAATGGCAAGCTAAAGAATTCCATGTGTTGTTCAACTGGTTGCTGCAGACAAATGTGCAGTCTTTGGGTTTTTGCATTTGTTTCCTGCTGGAGGCTAAAGGGCTGATGAGCAGAGCCTTCTTTGGCAGCATGGAGCTGTTTCACCCGCAAAGATGGCATATGTGCACGCCGGCTCTCGCAGATTGGTCTGCCCTCACTTTGTGTCACAAGGTGGGGTCTATCTCCTTGGAAGCAAATCGATGAATTGTTGTGGCTGTATGAAGATGCGGCTGGAGCAGTTTAATAATGAAAAGTATATTATGTACACACATATATATACAGTATATATAATATAACATTCCGATTTGGTATACATAATCCTGTTGTGTCAAGGTGTGTCCTTGTGCGCCGCTACGCAGCCGAGTGCCGAGCTATGCACTACTAGTAGGATGCATTCAGCATTCCTTGACGCAATACTTGCTGGAACGGCCATGGGCAGCTTGGACGTGATAGACAAAACTCACCATCAATTTCACAGGGTGGCACAAAACCTGAATCCTGGGGATAGATGTCGCCCATGTATAGGTTGTGCATCCTGGCACTTGCATGGCCGCAAGAGCAGAATGTGAGCCATTTCATATTGTGGTCATCTTAATCTTCATCATTGATGTCGTCATCATCATCAGCAGCAGCATGTTCTTCTTATTCTTCTTATTATGTTTTTTCTTCTACTTGTTGTGCCTTTTCATTTTCGTCATCATCATCATCATCAGCAGCAGCAGCATAATCATGTTTCTTGTCAATCATCACTTGTACCTATTTGTATGTAGATGTTTGTGCATGCACGCTGCATGTCGCTGTATGTCATAGATCTACGGGTGTCAGCTGTATAGATGTAGGTGTACTTGAGCGCGGCGTATCAAGTGTAGGCGTACTTGAACGAGGTGTCAGATGTAAGTGTATATATAGATGTAGCCGTATCAGATGTAGGCGTATAGACTGTATAGATGTTCAAATATCTACAAAACACTTTCAACTTTGACATTCTTCAGATGTTCTCTTAAAGTGGCGGTCGGGCCTGGCCGCATCCATCGAGAAGCAACCCTTTGCCGGAAACGTGCGTGTCAAGTGCCCGAAACTGCTCATATCTTTGCAGGAATCGTGAATCGTTCGCGTCGAATACCCAAAACTGCAGTGAAGTGCGAATTTGTGCCGCGGGCTGCAACCTATCGAGTGTTGGACTCGCAACATCCGTTGTACATTCTTACTCCTACACGTACTCCGCGTTTGGGCCACACTGCGGCTTTAATAACACGATTAAATTAATGACGTTCTACGGTCACATGATTGTCACATGTTTGAGAATGTAAACGCGAATGTTTCCGATGGACTGAGCGATTCTGAATGGTTGTTTGTTTTTTTCTTACTTGCATGGACATGGTCATGAGACCTGATGGGTTAGTGGTGATGTGTTTTTGATCAGCGTTCCCCTCTGGATCCCAATAAGCTTGGCAGGGACAGCGCTCCAGGGGTTCTGGGCTGGTGGCTACGAAACAGTACTTCTGAGATTTTGATGGGGAAACAGTCAATAGTCTTCCATATACGAGCAACTGTTTGAGTTTGGATTGGAAGACTGACTCAGACTTCAAGACGCGGCTAAGTGCGCTGACTGCTTGAGTCATTCACTGGCAGCTGGCTGAACTATGAGATCATTTTGCGAAACCGCGCGATTCCACAATTTGCGTTGTTAGTTTTGGTACTTGGACTCTCCATATAGGACATTGGTTACGTTGTTTTATGTTCATAAACATGTACCTCTTTTGCGCGGTACACATTGAGACTGGGCGAATCCTCCAGCTGAGGATCTCGATGGACAACGACTGACCTAGCTAACACGAAAAGAGGCAAACGAGCCGAAGTACGGCCATGGGGACCAGAAAACGGAGGGATCTTCGATTTTTTTCTCATCCCCATCGGTCGAACATGGACTCGTCGACTCAGTCCGTGACGAGTCCGTTTCGACTCCCACACGCTTTCGGTCAAGGTCGATGAAGCCATTGGCCATATCAACAGCGCTTTGGCCATGAGAGGAGCGTTTTCGTTTTTCTCTTGCCACTTGCCAGTTTGTTTTTCTCGTGGGCCTACAGAGTAGTGAACGACCTCCTTTGATGTTCTTGATCATACCCAAACACTGGTCAAACGACCATGCAGGTTTTACTGGGTCTTCAGACCTGAAACCTGAAATGAAAGGATTGGGGAAATAGAGCCTTTGAAAGAAGCTCGAACACACAGCGAGGTACATGGGACATGTGTACATGAGGCTAGAGGGACCTAGACCCTGAGTGACCTCCTGATCATCGTGATATGGTCTTTTTCCACTGCTGGTGTTTTTCCCCTGAGCTCCAGTGGGAATGGTGTTCAGGTGTCCTGTTTTATACCCTTCAGATTATGTAACATGAACCCTTAACATGAAAATCACTGGGTTGAAGAGGAACATTTGGAACATAAGGTCCGTGTTAGTCTGCAGGGGCGGTCAACGGACACTCTAAAAAAGGCCACCCTTTGGGGTCGGCCGCCTGTCCTTCACCGTGGTTTCGCACGAGGCGTTTGCTCATGAAGTGAACGACCGTTGGGCGGAGAAAAGAACCTGGCAATGTCTCGAAAGACTTCGAGCAACAGGGGGTCCGCCCGTGTTTTGGGACACCCTGAAACAACGAGGTAATACGGTGCTTTTAGAATCAAAGCCCTTAAAGCAGCTCCCAGAGGCAAGTCGAAAAGGTATAGAAATTAAATGTGAATCCCATGGAAACTCTTTGGATACTTTTGGATGTGGTTTCGGTTTGTTGGGAGGTGGAATCACCGAGGTCCCGGCGGCGGATCCGGCGGATCGGGCGGGCTCGGCCGGGCGAGCAGCTCGCCCGCCAGGTCACAGCTCGGGACACACGGAGAGTGTGGTGACGGAGGAGCGACCGAGGTTGACACAAACACCCAAACACTTCGGACGGACATCCATGATTTCTTTACCTGGTTCTTCAGTTCGTGACCGAACTTGATCACCTGGTTTGAGGATGTTGGTTCGGTCACTTAAGCCTCCTATACGGGTCACTTAATTAGGAACCTTCAAAAGGTCACGAACTGAAGAAGCTGGTACATTGGGGTTGGTTTTCAGGATGTTCAAGGATCAATTGATCAATATGCAAGTCACATTGCACCTGGAGTCTGATAATTAGGTACCACCCACCAGGCCAGAAAATGGTTTTTGTGTGCTTCAGAAGCTTAAGTATGGACTGTCTTGTTCTCGGCACATAGGATTGGACTGGAGGGTAATTGACCACTGCACCATGTAATTGAACATGTGTGTGCACCTCAAACTTCTTGGTGACAGATACGAGGCCAAATCTCGAAAGCCTCTCCAAGCTCAGGTGGATATGGTTTTTTAGGTCAATCAAATGAACCCAGACTCTCCGAGCCTTTCCTTAGTGATTCTTTTCAGGATCTCAACAGCCAGGGGCGCATCTGCACAAGGAACATCGAATCAGGAAGAAACTGCTCCAAAATGCTTGGACTTGTCTTTTCAGATGTAGTGACTAATAACTATGTACTCCCAGAACTTCCAACGTCGAAGTTTAACTTAGCCAATGAGAAACGTCGAAGTTAAACTTGTACACGTCAGTGCGTCTAAGTTTTACTCATGTAAGTTGTCTTAGACAGAACAGACTCCGCATAACGACGAAGTTTAACCTGGTTAAACATAGACAGAAACAACGTCGAAGTTATACTTAGCCTTTGAAAATTAGGGTACTTGTATAATGTTATAAATGTATTATATATATATATTATATATATTTAGCTATTTTTATATAGATGATCGATATACATGCAACATACTTATAACTGCGGCAAGCACAAACACACAAGCAACACCTGACGTCAGCTTCCACCGCCCAGGACCCCACCTGTGCAGAGACCTTCCTTCGCCGGGTCGACTCGGCGGGGAAGCTCAACGCCAGCGGCGCGGCGCGCGCCCGGTGACGGTCTTCGAAGAGAGCAGTGGACAGGACAAACTGAGTTCTATACGTTCGAACATGGCATATCATAACCATGGTAGAATCGATCTGTTGCAGCTTCACTGAAGTAAGAAACCTTCCTGGAAAGACCATTGAAACATACGGCTTGGACCGGTCTCGTGTTTTGTCCTCGTCTTCCCAACGGGAAATGTGACGTTTTCCTGGCACCCCTATCCATGCACCTAACTCCATGGAACTGCTGGGTGGAGGCTAACAATTCATGAGGGGAATGGTTTGGGACATGGCGGTCTTGTTTGATTTGGTGGACCCGTTTTCTGGCTTCACTGTGGCCTGCGGAGCCTGCGGAGTCCGGGTCGCAGCAGACCTGATGGAGTCGCAGACCTGGGCTTCGATCTTTCAGCCTTTTCTAAGCCCACACAGCCGGACAGCTCTCTAGTCAAGCTACGTGAACCTGGATGTGCAGGTCCCCAAGACCGATGCCACACCGAAAAGACATGTCAGAGGCAGAGCCACCCCCGCTTCGGCAGAGGCAGAGCCAACATCCAACCAGACATTGGTCATTCTTGCGCCGTCGGGCCTTCCAAAGTCTCAAGCCTCCACCTGTCCCTTCGGAAGATGGACTGGAAAATGGACATGTCCTGCACATGTGTATAATTGGATGTCCGGCTTCCCAGTGGCCAGACACAATGACCAAACAAAGATGGACCAGGCCCGAAGCTCAAAAAAGGTCCTCTATACATTAATCCTGTTCATGTTATTTTGATGCAGCCTCAGGGCCTCAAGTGCAGGGGAACAGTTTCAACTACATGACATGATGGTGAACCCAAACTCAAGTGAGATATTTCTGCAAGAAGTTGTATAGTTTTGTGATGATTCGTGGGAGACAACTCGAGGAATATTCCGTGTGGAGCCCCTCAACAAAAATCACCATATGAGTGAGTTTGATCCCAGGCAGTCACCGAACGATGTAGGAATTATCAGGTAGTCCGTCGGTACCCAGTGGGTCCAATTACCACTGGTAACCAGTTCCAAAGATTTATATAGTGTTAATTGGAATGGTAGGGTGACGAACGGTTCCCTAATATTCTGCCCTATTCAATGAATTCAATGTGTCGTGAATGGTGTGTATAGTGACTTGATGTGTGGCTCAACAAGGATGCAAAATCCCTGACACCGTCCACACTCCACATTGTAAGTCGACACAGCTCAAAGGCCACACGAGCCAGCCCCACCTATAAGAGGAACGGAAACAAAACCCAGACACTGCAATATTTACCTACATTGGGGTTGGTTCACCTGGGGTCAATGTAACAACAAAGGCAGCCCCCCCAACCCACCCGACCCGCTCTCTTCCGCAGAGCTCGGTGCAGGCGGGTGTGTACCACAACTGTTCCACGCGCTTCGCCGACGGCTTCCGCTATGGCGGAGATCCCAGCAGAAGCAGCGGAAGGGGACCGGTGGGATCCATTCGGGCCAACGGGACGCACGAGCCAGCCCCGCAAGGAGGAGTCAGTTTGCTGCGTTAATTTTGGGGAATGTCTGGGGTACTGGACGTATTATAGAATGTAGGAGTGAAACAATTGACAATATATAACTTGATGACGACTGTCACCCGCGAGAGCTGTTTGATCATGTTTGATCGGGCTTTTACCAGGGCACCCGTGTTTGTTCATCTTCATCTCAGTTCCACGGACACCCGGCTTACTTTGGCATGTCCATGAGTCCCCAACTCCATCCGACGGTCAGTGAGGACGAGTCCACCTCCACCGGTGGGTCCATATGTGTTGGTCCGGGTTTGAGGCGTCCAAAGGACGAAGCATCGAATCCTCTCAAACATGGGGGGGTGACGGGTCGAATTCTGACCAGGTCCCATCCTCACCATGTCGGTCTGTCCGACACTTGGGACCGGCCCATCCACCGGTGCCACCGAAAAAATCATCGGTCACCGAGGCTTTGGAGCGGAGGTCGGCATTTCCACCAACAGGCGGGCCGGGCGACGGCACCTGCGCCGCCGCGCCGGTGCCGGTGGACTCTGGTGGAAACATGCGCTTTTTCAGCAATGAGTAAACATGAGATCTCTATATCGGCGTATACCCTGGAGCATCTTCAAGTTCCTGTGCCCCATTTCAGAAGTGAGTAGAGTGGATGGATGGGAGGGTCCAGGTCCAGGTATGTAGCTTACATCAATTTTGCTAGAACCACGAATGGACGGGTCTATGGGCTTCTTCACGAGATCCTGAACAAGCTCGTCTCGGCCGACTCATGTTGGGCCGAAGATGCAGCCCCATGAGACACAGACCTGGATTTTTGCACAGACCTTGTTGCCCGGAGTGGCTTGTTTTCCCACCAGCAATGCCAGCGCAGGCAGTGCGGACATGTGCAGACTCCAAATCATCCCCAATGGTACTGGATCAACCATGTTCCTTTGCAGCGTGACGTCGTCTCATGAAACGTCCCTCCTTTGAAGGAACGCAAGTCAGATCGTTTTGTTCAATGTTTTTTCCTGGAGTCCAGGTCCCCGGTAAGGCAGTTGAACTGGTGTCAATACGTGGGGTTTCGGCTGTGGTTGACCTTGGAAACTCAAGAGTTCACCACTTGGTGAAGACCTTTTGGCGCCAGGATTCACGCACGTGGACCAGTGGGTTTGGAAGGCCTCGTGATCCATAAGCCCGGGGAGCCTGGTATGGGTTCTCTTCAGCGCAGGAGCTGTCGTGGAGGAGTTCCGTTTGGATTCAGCAGCTGAGGGTCCTCAAATGGTGACAACCCTGCCACAAGAGTGGTAATGACATCCTCTTGATATGTAAACTTGTAGAAGAAAAGAATGTTCACGACCCGCATGCAGGGTGCCCCTGACATTCTGAGACAGATCAATTGGTGCGACTCCGCGACTATTGTTTTGCCCAGATAGCGCCCAAACTATAGAGAGATATGCCGCAACGTGCCGAGTCTTCAGAAGCCTTTGCCCAGTTTTAACATGTAACGGGCTCCTCAAGCGGGAAACAGATGCCCAATCTGAATAAGTTTCAGTGTGTAGGAGAGCGCAGCGGTTGTACAGTTTTTTGGATGTTTTTGGCGCATTCAATTTTCTGGGCCAGTCCATTCTTTCCCAATCCTACGAATCCTGGTTTCTGCACATGGAGAAAAAAAAGGTTGTACTTCATCGCCGAGTTCAGCCAAGGGAAGGAACATGCAACCGTGCTGTGCTCAGCGTGCTGTGCACAATAGGCTGCTAAAAATGCTTGGGGTCGCATGCGATCAGATCTGCTTGACGGGGTTCCACAAACGGGGATACTGCCCCTTGCATTATCACCCCGCCGGCGGACGCTGGCGCTTGCCGGAACTGGAAGAGGGTGCTCCAAAAGCCGTTACCGCACTCGGGAAAGCAGCAATGAACGAGTGCGGCGTCATAGTCAATGGCAGTATCGCGCGCGCCTGTGCAGAAGATGTGCAGTGAACCCGCCAAATCATGACTTCATGGAAACGCTGTCAACCCCACTGGTCATGACACAATTGCTTGGTCAAGTAAGCCTCTATAAATGTTGCGTGGTTTTGGTGCGCCCCTATGTACCTATGCGAGCTATCAACCCTCTAGAATACTGATTGTCAAGATTGTCAAGCGCATATAAGTGTCATCGCTGACACAAAGGCCAGGCATGATGCAAATATGTTTGCTCAAACGTCCTTCACCAGTCACCTGTGTGGGGAGAAAGGCTTCTACCATCTTCTGCCCAAAGAGTCCCAGTGAAATCGAGGGACCTCTACCCTATCCCAGACACTCTCATGTATGTCATATTTACATCCATTGGGGTGGTTTCAGGGGTCAATGTATACCATACATGGAGTGTTTGGGTATGACACCCCCGACAAAAACACCAGCGTCAGCCTGTTTCCAACCTTGCCATTTTGAGAGTCCATGTTTGACTGAGGGCTAGGTTCCCGCGGTATGGTGAGGGTGTTGCACATCCCCCCTGTTCAAACGTGCCTCGCACATTGACCCTGGACCTCTTGGGACTCCGAAAAAGGGGATCAGACCTGCCAAAGCTACGACTGGACCTGTGGCAACCAACCTGAAGCACCGAAAACGGAGGTGCTTGGGAGCCCCCGAAAGACCCAGGTACCGCCTCTACGGCAATGGCCACACCGCGGCCGACTTCGCGGGCGCCGAGCCTTCGCGCCTCCGGGAAATCGGATCGATGGAAGAAGGAGGGATGTGGAAATAGACCGGGTCACTACCTGGAAAGCGGATGAGATTCTGGAGTCGACCTGTGAAAGTACCTTGGACAATTGGGTATAGACTCATAAAAAACAAGTTTACCTGAAGGATTCCTGCTTAGGCAGGGTCATATGTCCCATTTTCAAGGGGTACGAACTGGAGGGTTCAGACACTTGGGATTGAAGGAGTGGGCCAGCTCATCGCGGTGTCCAAGCTGGGAACCCGAAAGACAAGACCGAAGCTTTTCGGGTTGCGAGTAGCGTCCTTGTTCCTATAGTAGCGATGCCCTTTGTTACTAGTAGCGTCCTTGTTCCTAGTATTAAGGCCAGGAGCCCCTATTAGCGTCCTTGTTACTAGTAGCGATGCCAGGAGCCCCTATATAGATTCAACAAATGCACATCATAGGTGCACGCACGTCATATTGGACACCAGCTTCTTCAGTACATGAACTTCTGGGAGCCCCATGCTCAGTGCCTTGTTTCAGGCCTGGGACTGCAACCGAAGCACCCGCAAAATCAAGTGAACGGAACTAACGAACGAACGAACGAATGGAACGAGCCCCGAGGCTCAGGTGCCTCTGTTGAAACCTGGACGCTCTAAAGAGAGGGGCGAAAACATGCTACCTGCTACCGACACGGCCGAGGCGGAGCTACATCCACAAGCGCATCGAGGGAGTGGCATGGCGGCAATGCTACAATCCAAGCCTTCCATTGACCCCCTACAGTATATAGCTACCCCCGAAGCCTTGAAGGCCATGTTACTGTTAAACCCATGTCGTTGCATGAAAACGTAATCGCAAGAAACTCATGCTTGGCAGCTTGGGATTATTTGTTGCAGTAGATGTTTGAGTCTTTTCTACGTTCGGTTCTAGTCAATGAGCCCTCCGAAAGGTAAACTTGTTTGCAACATCTAGGATCAACAAATTGTTTGGTGGTTTACAGCTGGAATGCCATCATCAAAGAACACCGAAACGGTTTCAGCCGTTCAAAAAAAGCAGCTTTCAACAGTGACTCTGGTGAGATTCCACTACAGATTGGGCCAGCGAACACTTCCCATCACTTCCCCCCAGCTACTCGTACCTTCGACTCTTCAAGCGCCTTCATTCCAAGCAGCGCCACACCCGTCCGTGTCCCAGGTCGCTGCAGCCGCCGAGATCCCTCAGGCCAAGCTGGCGAAGCTCTCCTAGGCGCTCCGACGCCTGGGACGCAGGTCGCGAAAACTCGAGCCGTCGCGGGGTCTTCACTGGATGGGATGGGACCAAGCAAAACCACTCATTTTGAAACTGCTAAGGGAAGGCCTTGTTTGGGGTGTGTGTCACCTATAAGCAATGGCAAATGGTTAGAAATGCTGAAAGTGTGCTCCTGCGTGTTTTATGAGAGATGAAAGCCAAGAAATTAACCAGCCACATGGTTTGAAGAGTGCAGAGGTACGTGTTGTCTCACTCCTGCATGAGAGCTTCTGTCAGAGGTTCATAGTAGTTGAAAGTATCTGGGATTGCTTGAGTGGATTTGATGGGATTTACGGCTTGAGACTCCTATAATATGAGGATCCGTCCTTTTCGGGAGCTAAGGAGGGTCACGTTTGGGTGGAGACTCCAGGATACTGCGGAATGTCAATTCTTGGACTCAGCCCTTGTCTCTGAGCCCTATAGGCCCCAACCGATGACCTACGCCATTTGTTGGTTGATTTGGCTCGAGCGGATGGTACCTGGCACTGACCCCCTGAACTCTTCCCGTTTGCACGGACAGAGCCTGGTGGGGGAGCCTTGGAGAACTCATGCGTCACCAGGCAGAGACATGCTGAATTTCTTGAACCCACTGCTGGCGAATCCATAGGTCTCCAACGAATGACTGGCACCTTACCTTGCCTGGCAACCAGATCAATGGCAGGTCAGTTTCCCAGGAATTTTGATTTATGTTGGTTCAACCAAATGATTTCAATAAACATTAGGACTTTGCCTCATTACTGATCACAACTCAGCTAGCAATGGACCGCACATGCGTTACTGATCTATATTGTGTTTGAATGCTTATTTGTTCGGCAAAACAGTTCAAGATGGAGGACTGCTTCATCACATGTTATACTATGATTGATATATCATTCTTTATAGAAACCGTTGCTATAACATTCTGGGGCTATGAGATGACACTATGGTGTTGGCTTGATTTTTGGCAACATTGCAATTTGTCAGTATTTGTGTGAACTCATTGTTTAATTGAAACTGCAGATTCCCTGCATTCCGGAATCAAGGACATTTCGTGGACTTTATAAGGATCTATGATCTATATTATAACTATAGTTGCTAAGGGTTTAACTTATCAAAGCTTGGGCTCGCTGCACAGACATGCCCATGGATTCCCCAGTGATTTCTCTTATGAACAGAGGATCGCATTGTACAGACCTTGAGAGGGCCAATCTTGTCGCTGGGCTCACTTCACTTTCAAAGCTGGCAGTTCTGGGTGCTCGCATGGCATCCTTGTGATCCTGCAAATTGAAGCTCGTTGTGATAGGACAACCTCAGTTGTCAAATTTGAACCACAGGAAGCTGCCCCACAACCAACTTGAGGGATTTTGCCCCAAAACCAACTTGATTGATTTTTGCTCTGAAAGGGCTATGCCGTCATCCGAGATGGTGCTATAGAGGACAAACAAGAGGCAATCCAAATACAAACAAGAGGTAATATATGGGGCAATCATTTTTGTTGAGGGGTCTCGTTCTCTGATGTTTGTCTACTTGAGGTTTGTCACACATCTTGGAACAGTTCTAAATGCCCTGGCGTCGTCTTAAGACCTCTCACAATACAATTCAAGCTGCACTGACAGCGCTGCACAGATTTGCTGTTTGCGGAAAAACAGATCGGCCACGGTCTTGCTTTATAGAAAGGGCGACCGCCGTGCCCAGGTGAAACACCTGTCGGTCAAGTCGTCAGATGGGTCGCCGACGGGTAGCGTTTCCGACCGTCCACCGTTGCGTTTTCAGCTCATTCTGGGCCGAGACGGATGGAACTTGGATCAGAAAAAGAAGGGTGGGCAGATGGCAACATCAAAGGGCCGCTGCAGTTGGAGGAAGGTCACAACATGTCACCCGTTTCTTCAAGGTGACCAAAGATCAGCAGCCCCTTCAAGGTGACCGAAATGCCGGGCCCAAATGACCTAGAACTGGGATATCAAGGGCGGTCGCTTTTGAAGAACTTAGCAGGAATGACTTGATTTGTTTGATTGAGTCAGAAATCATCTGAGGAACACACATGTGTGACAATGATGTTTAGTTGACTCAAGGGATGTATGTCCATGAAACAGAACCGCAGCCTTCGCTAAAGGCCTACTACCATGGTAGGTGGCCATTTCTGGGGAACTCTTCTATTTGTGTTTGCTGATTTTAGTCGTGCACATGGCGGGCGCCGGGGTTTGACCCAGCGCCATGTGGTTGCCTGCGGCTCTTTCTGCCGCAGCCTGAGCTGTTCGGTGTGGGGCGGGGCAGGCGGCAGCTGTGGCTGGGATACCAGGAGTTGGGGTTCACATGCGCAGTGGTTTTCCAACCACCCTAAGGATCATTGGACGCTCCGAACTGGAGGGTTTGGACCCTGCTTTTCGCAGGGGTTTGGACCCTGCTTTTCGCAGAACTGAGGGTCCTTGATTCTTAGGGCAGAATTGGTGGGACTGCGGCACGGTCCAGCTGTGTTCCGTGCAGATGTCGTTGCCCTAACCTCGCAACAGAGGAGCTTTGTTGGAACCTGGGGAGGAGCAGCTTGTTCTTCCCCATATCCTGGTAGTCATAGAATGTCATAGAATGTTATAGATGCCACTTGGTTATATAAACCTTCTTGAATGTTTGAAGGTATCACGCAATCTGTCTGGCAGATGGTCAGCACTCCTCAATTCAACACACGTGCTTGCTGCGTGAACTGTTGATTGCAATTTCTTTTGGAAGGACACTTCACGTAACATAACATAGAAAGCTGGCCCTCAATCGCTGATCGGCTCTCAATCGTGGTTTGAAGACCTCAAGCACGAGACCTCCTTGAATTACTGCCTTAATCGACCTGATGAATCGACCTGATGCCGTTTGGTGTGCCCGGCCCTCCGATCTCCATTTACTGCTTGGTGTACCACTTGAGTAGACGCAGCAGACTTACCGGGATCTGTGCGTTTTGGAATTTCTCACCCAGATAGCTCTTGGAGTCCTCTCTACCGAAGCCTCCAGTTCATACCCTAGAAATCGCTAGAACAAGGAAACATTCCCCACCAAACCAGGCCGGTGCGTTCCATATGTCTTGTACCAACGGTCCGGTCCAGATCCTCTTCTTCCGGTGGGAGAGACCCCACGCCCCCGAGGCCCTTCTCAAGTCGGAGGGGTCAGGGGCCTCAGTGAAAGTGCCAGGGTTGACTGGAAAGAATGCTTCTTGTTCCTAGTAGCGTTCTTGCTCCTAGTAGTAAGGCCAGGCGCCCCTAGTAGCGTCCTTGCTCCTAGTAGCGATGCCAGGAGCCCCTAGTAGCGATGCCCTTGCTCCGTTCGTAGCGATGCCCTTTGTTCCTAGTAGCTTCTTGCTCCTAGTTTGCAAAGGTCCAAGCGAGGATTGGAGCTGTTCAGGATGGCGATACGACCTGGACTTGACATAGTTTCCTCAATGCTTGGGTAGCTCGAGTCAACAAAGTATCGTTTTGATTCGTTTTGCGAGCTCCCTGTCAGACGCCCCATGTTGTAACATGCGTGTCTGAGAGATTGAAGAGCCGGATACCTTTGCAACATGTTTTTCGATGTTGCTCGATTTGTTGCTCGTAACGTTTCAGTACCCTGCCCCGATGAGCGTGAGCCAACGATGATGCTTTGATATGCTTTGCCCGTCAGATGAACACTTCACCAACTGGACTGTACACGACCATTTCTCCACAAACGACAGCTACAATTATTACTGCATGCCCTTCATTCATTACCACAGAAGCATCATAGCTGTTTGGGGGCAGAAGTCCAATTTGTTAGCTACTGGGTGCTCGGGTTAACTTGTCTCGAATGGCATGAACTTGTGCCAGATGAGGTGTGCCCTTGGGGGAAAGCTTGATTGGGCTAAGTTTTTGTATGTATGTTGTTGTTGATCACAGGTTGAGAATTCGACCAAACCGCAAGGGCACACTGTTGATTCTGTCTCAAGTTTATTGTACTCCCAAGTGCGCCGTTGCGATTTCATGTTTTTGGCTTCACTACATTGTGATTAGGTATTTTTCAACAATCGTTGCGAAACGGTGTCCCCAAGCAGTTTTGTGTCTAGGAGTGTAAACGATCATTGTTTGGGCATTTCATACTGTGTATTTGTTCTTTTTGGTGACTAGTGCTTGGAATACAACCAGCCTCAAGTTGCGCTTCCCAACCAATGTTGGGACAGAAAGGGGGCAGGCCTCATTTGCCTCGTGCATTTGTTTCTACATACTGGGTGCCTGTGTTTACCCCTATCGTGATCAAGATCTCGTATGGAAGCCGGTGTGCCATTGCGGGGAGCAGTCAAAGCAGTGCAAACTAGAAGAGATGAGCAACATACTTCTCCATCTTATTGATGCCAGATCTGCGTGGCACACTGGCTTTTTCGCGTTCACACTGCAATGTGAAACCAGTATACCATTGGGGTGAGCTATCGAATAGCTATGAAGTTGAACTTGTTTCTAGAGGTTTCTTTTGTCAACCCATAGTTGAATCCTTTTCGAAAAGGCCCCATCTCCATCAAAGCGGATGAGCGAGGAGCAGTCTGATTAGTGTTTTTGAGAAGTCGTTGCGAAGCGTGTCCCCACACAGTTGCGTGTCTAGGGGTGGAGGCGTTTGTTGTTTGGTAATCTATGGTAATCAATATATGTCGGGCTTGCTGCTGGTTTTCTGCTGCTGCTGCCGCCTTGCTGCTGCTGGTTGGCTACTGCTGCTGCTGGCGGTTGGCTGCTGCTGCTGCTGCTGCTGGCTGATTGCTGCTGCTGCTGCTGCTGCTGCTTGCTGCTTGGTTGTTGCTGGTGCTGCTGCTTGCTGCTTGCTGCTGCTTGTCGCTGCTGCTGCTCCTACTCATTTGCTGCCTGTCATTGTTTTGCACGCCCTGTGATTATAGCAGGTTTCTTCCATTGCAGACTGTGTATTGGAAACATGATTTCAAGCTTGGTGGCAGGCCTGGTTGGTGAAACGCGGTGCCTCCATGCGGAAACAAGTATCGCAAGGACGTTGCCGTGACTTAGTCGTGGCGTGGTGTCCCAGTATATGACTGGTTGCCACAGCTGCGTTGCGTTGCAAGGACTTTTGTGTTTGGGTGTTAGTGGGCATGGGTCTTCTGGGCAAACGTGTTCATCTCGCCCAATACCTCGCCCACATCTCGCCCTCTATCTCGCCCAACCCGCCAGGCACCAGGACCAACACATATGTGTAAGCAAAGGCCTCTTCAATTTACATGGGCCCTCCAGGCAAGGAGCGATTTGCAGGGTTCATGTCTTCAAGCGTTCATGTTCACATTTTTCGCAGGTGTGCCATGCGGAAGGAACGCGCGCGCACAGACACCAAAGAAGGCAAAACGCAAGCTAACCATGGGCTTTGTCGTGGTCTTAGCATACTTCTGGCAGAGATCGGAAGCGGGTGTGCACACCGTTTTCACCAATCCCACATCACAGATGATTTGGTTTCTAGCCTCTGTTGGTTTGCTGCTGGTTGGGTGCTGCTGCTGCTTCTGCTGCTGCTGCGCTGTGCTGTTTTGCTGCTGGTGGTTGGCTGCGGCCAGTTGCTGCTGGTTTGCTGGCGCTGGTTGGCTACTACTGCTGGTTAGCGTCTGCTGGCTTCGTGCTGCCTGCTGTTTGGCTGCTGCTGGTTTGCTGCTGCCGGCTTGCTGCTGCTGTTTGGCCGCTGCTGGTGGGATGCTGCGGGTTACCTTCTGCTGCTGGGTTGTTGGTGTTGTTTTGCTGCTGCTTGCTGCTGCTTGCTGCTGCCGCTGCCGCTGCCTGCGCTACAAAGCCTACTCATTTGCTGCTGGCTGTTGTTGCACAAACCCTATCATTGTGGCAGTGTTGTAAACTGGGCTTGGAAAGCATGGTTTTGGCTCAGATGGCCTGTTTGGTGACGCGGTGTCCCATGCGGAAATTAAGTGCGGCAAGGACTCTGCCGTGACTTAGTCGTGGTGTGGTGTCACAGTGTGATTTGCTTGCCGCAACTGCTTTGCAAGGACTTTCGCGTCTGGGTGGTTACCCTCGAGGTAGGAACTTAAAGGTGGCGCCAACATGTGGGTCAGAGGTGTGCCATGGGGGTTGGACCATGGCAGCCCATAGGAAACCTTAGAACCCATCAACATGTAGAAGCTTGAATCGCAATGGAATGGTGTAGGTTTAGAAACAATCTAGGCTAGGAGAACAAGTGCTTGTTCCGAAGCGGTGTGCCATGGGGATTGGGAGAGGAAAACACGCAAGAATGAATAGATATATGTTTGACGTTCCATGCTGCTTGCACTCCATGTAGAGACTGAAAGCTGGTACCAACATGTGGGTCAGAATCGGTGTGCCATGGGGATTGGATCACGGCAACCCACAGAGAACCTTAGAAAACATCAACATGTAGAAGATTGAATCGCAGTGGAATCGTGTAGGTTTAGAAACAATCTAGG